GTTTCTAGATGGTTCTGGAGGCTCTGCGACCATCGTGAACAAGTTTGCTTTTGAAGCCTCGGACTATTGATTCTGCGTTTGCTTCCCAGAGGTGAGTAACGAGCATTTATACTGCTTATGCATTAGCGGTACGGCGGAGGCAGTCCCTGCGCCATTTTTATCGCTTGCTTTGAGTTATGTCTTTGTTGTGTAGCTTGAATGTTTATGCGACCACAACCAAACGGACAGAGTTTAGGCGTGCATGAACTAGCTAGATGAATACGTAAGCGTCTGTCAGCAGCATAGTTAGTGTGCCTGGTAGAGCTGTTATGTATATTTTGCCAAGAAATCATAGACGTGATGAAATGCTCGCAACGAAAATGGCACTGTACCAGTTTGACGTGTTGAACTATAGGCTTGCTTTAATGAGGTTTGTTGCGTAAAACACTGACATTTGCGAGAATATTAATGCTCGCTTGCTCGTATGGCCCACGTGAGTGTGTTAGGACAATTCACGATGACCTTTCAAAAGCGTTGTTTGCACGACTGGCTCACTTCGACAGCCTTTCCAGTTTACGACGAACTAGTTTGCAGTTTGCACCACGCGAAGTCACCCTATGTTTCCGTATTTTAACGTCTGTGACAACAGGGTGGTGTTCAAAGTAGTGTTTGGTGCGTTGTGGGGTATCTTTGTTGTGTGCAGTGCCGTATCGTGTAATGTAAATTCTTCAAAAAACATTCGCAGTAATTCATCTTAAAAATCACTTTTATATTGCACCGCTTTTGACACCATTAGCTTTTATATGTCAAGTACTGAGCACTCTAATGCGAATATGTGCTGCTTCTGTACTGTTAACGTAATGATGAACAAGCAATGATGGTACCGACTAGAGTTCTCAATTTTTTTCCCAGCAACTGTGTTTCAGATTGACGACCCGCTTGTTCTTCGACACGTCGATAATGGCCCGCAGCATGATCTAAACATAGAAGAAAGGCTCTTTACCGCCCGTTTCTCCAAGCACGTCGAAAAAGTCCACATTGATTTTTCTATGGTGAGGGTAATGGCGTGGTTCCCATTTGATTTGTTTACTTCGAAACTATTGTATAGGATTGTGTGTGTGTGGGTGGGCGGGGGTGGGGCGTGTGTGTGTGTGTGTGTGAGGGGGGGTATGAAGTTTTTTTTTAATCTCCATGTGTATTTAGGCATGTGTTATGGGTTATATTACGTTCCAGCTAATTGGAGCTGCAAAGCACCAAAACTTCCATAAAGGTAATTCAAACATTTTAAACACTCTCTTACAAGCTTGCATGATTAGGCGCATTTTTAATTAAATTACATTATACGAAGTTAAGGCCCTTGTCACTTTGCTGTTTTAACACCTCATTGTTGAAACGTTTTTTTTTTCTCATTTTTTGAAGATATAGAATGCTGACCAGAATTGTTAGATCTTGATTTCACCAATGCAAACAAGTCTTCTGGCCTCAAAAGACTGTGTCGAAGGCTCCTTAAACTGCCAAGTGAACCCATTAGGAGCACAGTTCTCGACATAAGCTCCGGCAACAGAACCAATTACTACTAGAATGACCACCATAGGTCAGGTAGCTACGTAAGCACTGACGTTTCGCGATACAAATTCCGTAGTTTTGCTTAGCATGTAAAAGGGTAGCATTCAGGTGGCATCACTAATAGTACAACTGTACCATTAGTATCATCTTGACGAACAGCTTACGTCAAGCGACAATTTCTCTTTCTGGCACATGTTTTTCTGAGTTAACAATGGACACTTCGCACGTGTGCGAGATTAATAACTGATCAAACCTAATACTGCATGTGAATACCTGTTTTATTTGTTACTTATTCTGGGTCTTCAGTTAATTCCTAGTGTATTGATGTTGTTGGTACACAAAGTTCATTCCATATTGCTATGAACTATGGCTTATTCTTTGTGTGTTGTTTGAGATGGCCTTGTATGATCAGAAGGAACGGAGAAACCAGCTTAAGGACACGTTTTCACGTAAGTATGTGCCAGAAAGTGTTCTATGAAATAAATTGTTGAAAATATTTTTTTCTTTGTTTTACTGCCAACCGAAATGGCAGGTGGCTTTCTGAGCATTATTGTTTTTCTGTGAGTAGCATTTTGCCTTCGGATCATGCACACACAAAGCAATAGCAACAGCTGTAGCAGTTGTATCTTCACACTTGCATTGTAGGGCTGAGGTTTTGTTGATGTATGATAATGTGGGTTGGCATCTAAACCAAATGACAACCACGAACAGGCAAATTCACACGCTGTAGCTTTACTGCAGTCATTTTCACACCTTTGCAAGTTATTTATTGGTGCCATTTAGCCCTGTCTGACAACACGGTTGTTTTCAGATCCGCCTGAATATTCTAAATTACCATTTAAAGTTCAATAAATATATGAATGGCTTACTTTTTGGTAATCTCTACGCATGCTTGTAAATCTAATATAGTTACCGTAAACGATATCTGGCATAACTAAGCTGATAAAACACTTAAGTGGGACAACTCAACATTAAATTTCTTATATATTTTATCGTATACCTGAACTGACAACTGAATTGTTATTATTCATTACAATATGTTTTAAAAAAAGGAGCATGTTTAGATGGAGCATAAATACCGACGTGTTCCACGATGACATAACTGCGCATCATTCAATAAAACAACTTTTTCAAAGTTATCATATTATGCTGAGAAATTGCCCCCAATTCGTTGGTTCAGGTATGCAGGAAATATATGAGAAAATTGAATGCTTATTTGCCTCATTTAAGTATCACATTTGTTTACTTATGCCATAAATACGGGTGACGCTAATCATGATGTGCATAAATTTCCTAGGATGCATGAATTTCCTTAGTACCGAGTAAGTGGAACGCTGCAACGTACACAACCCAGTGACCAATGAGTAGAACACTGTTCCTCATACTCGAAGCGTTATTTGGGAGGGATCTTCACTTAACTAAATAAAAATTTTTTGCGAAAATGATCCGCTCATTAGCTGGAATCTATGTGGAACCAGATTAAGAGAGTTGCATGACTCACTCAGCATGTGGCACTAATGTAAGTGACATAAAGACGGACGAACGAACTAATAGAGGCATGGACGGACTGATGAACGCATAAACATACTGACGGACGGACGTACGCATGGATGGACGGCAGCACGGACGGACGTACAGACGGACGCACGAATGAATGAACGGATGGATGGCCGGTGAACGAACGGACGCATGCAGGGATGGTTGCCCACACGGACGGACGGAAGCATCGCCCCACTCATCATCATTCACTCCGTGGATATGCTGTGATGTTTTTAGCAGATAAGTGTTTGAAAATATTTACTAACACATTGCAAAGAAAAGGAAATGAACAAGTTCCGCATCAGCTCGTCGAAACAGTGACTTCGCGTTCCCCAGCGTGAGACGCTAACCACTAAGCCACCAACGACCCTACCCCAACACCTTAACGGCGAGCCATTTATATACACTATGTACTGCTGGCAGTCCTATAGTGTCTAGAATATTCTACGAAGCCAAAGCAACGCATCGTGGCGTTGCGACTCCGGACAGGCAGCACTATCTTTGATAGAAAAGTAGAAATCGGGGATGTAGATGGAGCGTTTTCCCTTCGCTACAATACGCTGCCGCTCACTAACGTGCTCGTGCAGAGAGTGCGCGCTTCATTTGAGTCACCCAAGGAGGTTTAAACAAATTTGCTGGAGTGTAAATTCTTGCCCAGGAGTGAAGCCGTGCCAGCCGTAAGATGGTGGCTGCGGCAGCCATCTTACAAGGGGCACGATAAGCTGTTGGCGTTCGGTGATTGAGAAAGAGCGTTTTCCTCACACGCCAAACGTGGCATATAATATTGTTTAACATATAATATTGCTTCCAAAGCCCTAATTGAAGTTAATCAATATAAGTACTTAGGTGTTACTATTACTAACAATTTATCCTGGAATACGCATATCTCTAACATCTGCAAGTCGTCTTTCCGTAAGCTCTGCTTTTTGAGGCATAAATTAAAACAGGCTCCCCTCAACACTCGTCCAGCAGCTTATTACTCGCTAATCCGTCCAAAATTAGAATATGCATGTACTGTGTGGGACCCTTACACCAAACGTAACACTGACGCATTAGAAATGATACAACGCAAAGCAATAAGATTCATTTTCTCCAAATACCGTTCAACTGATTCCCCATCAACCCTAATGCTGACTAATAGCATTCCAACTTTACAAGCACGGCGTAAAATTCTCAGACTATAATTTGTGTTCTTGCTGATAAATAACCGTTTATCCCTTAACCCGCAGCCTTTCATAACTCCGCTCGAAGCACGCCGGACAAGGCATCGCCACGCTGAATCCCTAACGCCTTATAGCACTAAAACCAACGTATTTAAGTATTCATTTTTTCCGCGTACAATAACAGACTGGAACAACTTGCCTTGTGAACAGCTGTCCAATATTGACGCTATTGCTCAGTTAAGATGTTAAGTTTTTATGCTTTGTATATGCCTTGTGTATGCCTTTTTGTTCTTGCCTTGTATATGCTTTGCATATGCTTAGTTTAGATGCCAACTTTTGTATTGTTTCTTTTCCCGTTCCATACTTACAATGTTGTTTCCCTCTGGTTATTATAATGTGTACTTCCCATGCCCCTCCTGCTTGGGCCCTTACCTGGGCCTGCAGTATGTCATAAATAAATAAAATAAATAACCTTTTCGGGTCAGATAGTGCTCAAAGTGAGTCCAAGGAGGTTTAAAAAAAACTTCTGGAGTGGAAGCGCCGGCCCTCTGGTGACGCCGACGGCCGCCATGTTGCTCCAGGCAAAAAACGTGCCGTCGGTCGTTTGGGCCCCCGCCGTTCGCGCCACTGAACAACAGTTGTCGCGTTTGTCCCTCGTTCTTTTGTTCTGTGCGGATTTTGTGCAGTTCTAAAGGAAGTTGACACGATTCCGGACGTTATGGTGAGCTCGTATGTCGCCTTCGGCTGCACTAAACGTGCGAAGCAGAAGCCAGGAATCACTTTTCACGTGTAAGTACGCGGGAAAAAGCGCTTTCAATCGCTTGTCTCCTTCGGCGCGCTACCTCATTCGAGAAGTGCGGTTTCAGCTGAAAACTTACTTTCATTAGCATTTTTCAGCTGGCGAGTAGAAGTTGAATAACCTATTTTGTGCGTGTGGTACCGCAGGTTTCCGAAAGACAAGACGCTGCGTGACGCATGGCAGCGTGCTGTTCGGAGGGATCGCTGGGAGCCTAAGAATGCGGACGTTCTCTGCTCGGAGCACTTTGAAGCCAACTGCTTTGACAGGACGGGCCAAACGACCAGACTGCGACCAGGGAGCATTCCTACCATTTTTCCTGCGTTCCCTGCGCATCTCCAGAAACCAGTGAATACTATCACGAATGTACATTTTCGTTACGGTAAATAGGCTATAGATTTCCGAATGTGTAGGCACAGTTTCTCGTTTCCTACGTGCTGTTCAAAATCACACCACTCTCTGACAAAGCGCACGTCACGTACACTTACTTGTCCAACTTTTTTTTTTTTCACTGTGCGTGCATAAATACGGGCACGCTAAACTTCCGCACCGAAACTATAAAAAGATCCCCAAGGTAGTAATCCCATTTCTAGTCAGTCTAAGCAGTGGGTGGGACCATTTTACCCGGCTTCTGAACTTTGGAGCATAACTGATTTTTTTTTTCTTGCAGGCGAAAAGAAAGCGAGAGGCCCCTAAGTGTCGGACTGCGCTGTCACCTGTCGTCAGTGCTGAGGCAGCGGTTTAAATGCCATCTGAGCCTTCTTCGCCAGCGAAGGATTGGTACCGTTCCAAGGCAGAGGAGTCTGCACAAGAGGTTCTCCAACTAAAGAAGAAAGTTAAGACACTGCAGCAATCCAAAAGAAGGATAAGCAAGCGGTGTGATGCGTCAGAAAATTTGATCAAGGAGCTAAAAGAGAGGAAACTTTTGTCAGAAAAAGGCCTTGAGGTCTTTGAAGCAACTTTCTCGCCTGAAATTCAATAGCTTCTTGTCCGAGCCCATGGCGCCATCGAAAGACGTCTTGAAGATCTGCCACACTGTGGAGAAAGGGCTTCGTGCCCTACAGGTTCAATGTAAGGACCTAAAATCATTGCATGCAAACAGTGATCGCCTCATGGTAGAGGTGTTAACGGAGGTGTTTGAACAAGCATTATTTTCTGAGTTAGAGCCTCATCTGTTGGACTGCGATCCACTCGACAATCACATCTACGTTTTGGCGAAAAAGATTGCCAACCTGTATATAACAATCAGGCTTCACCACATTTCCAAAGAAATCAACCGCAAGAACTCGCGCAGTGGGGTACGAACCCAGCTGACAAGGACTATTATATTTAAAATCTGTAAGGTACAGATGAGAACCAGCGTTGAACAAAGCGGAGCAGCTGGTATATTCTATATTTTTTGCAATTTTAGTGTGTTGTTATAGAGTTGCCTGATATAACCTGCGTTTTGGGAATCAGGCCGTTTTCGTGTGAATTGTTTCTGTTTTATTGTATGTGCTTTTGGAAATTGTATAAAGCCTTGAATGAATAAAAACTCATATACCCCTGTGTTGCTTCCACCGTGAGCCTCATTTCGAGAATTGCAAGCGAATCCGCACTTACAGCAGCTAACCGTTGTAGTGCATATTCGCTAATACGTAATCGCGTACGGCTCACGTGTATTATCGTAACTGACGGCTTTGTACAGATCTTGTTTATCTAACACGAAGAAAAAAATGCGAGTGAAATTAATTACACTAAGTGCCCCGTTTCATTCGGAAAAGCCGCCACGGAGGCGCGCTGAATACGTTGTCTGCGCTCTCTCTTGCCTGGAGCAAGATGGCCGCCAACCGGTTTCCCCGGCTTCACCCGCACGTTCGCTGGAGGGTGTTGTATGCGGACACTGGCTGGCGTAGCGACAGGGTCAGTAGTTTTTTCGTTGCACAGTTGTAATAGACCTTCTGGCGTTAACGAATCTTTTGGAGTCTGCTGTGAACGGTTTTGCTTGGAACAGCCTCTAGTTCCGGGTGGCTGTTTGACAAAGGCAGCAGAGTCCTGGTTTGTCGTCCCATTAGTCTGTGCACAGGGAACTTATATCATCTCTGGGGGTGTTGCGCTATTCCAGCAACGCCAAATAAAAATCAACCCGGTTGCGTGACATTTCTTTAGAAGCCTTTTAGCTTCCTGTGCGGCTCTTTTTGTGATACCATTAGCACGAAGGAGATAAGGACTTGTCGTAATATAAATAACACCTAGTTGTCGCAAGACTATTTGAAAAGCTGGCTGTTTAATTGCGGGCCCTTATCATTGCAGAGCTGTGACGGTAAGCCATGTGTGGCGAGCAATTTTGTGCACCATAATGTCGGAGCGCGAGCAGGGCTCTGCCGGAGTTAACTGATCTCAAAAAAAGAATAGAAGTCTGATATTATGGCAAATACATAGCCCTCATGGAAAAAGAGGTCCATGCCAGCACATTCTCAGGGCAGCTTTGGGATGTCGGGGCTGTGGAGAGGCATTTTTAGCGTTCCGCAGTTGATACTTCTGACAGACCCTGCAGTTTTTGCAAAATTGGTCTTTTTCACGCGACATGATTGGCCAGTACATGATGTCTCTTGCCCGCGCCTTCATCTTTTCAACTTCCGGGTGCGCAGCGTGACGCAGCAGCATAATTTCTTGGTTCTGTGAAGTTGGTATAACTACCTTGCTGCTACGAAAAGCAAGACCATCCTGTGTGTAAAGCTCCTCCTTGTAGGACTGACGAACTCTTTCGGGCACCTCGCTTTTTTCGAGCCAACTTGTTTCGGCGTAACCTCGAAGTTTGACCAGGGCAGGATCTTCATTTGTTGCAGCACAAAGATCCCTCAAGCACTGCTGCGAAGATGAAATGTATTCAAGCACATTCACTTGACATTGCTCCGTTTCTTCTTGCATGAACTGTTCGCTGGGAAACCAAGATAAGGCGTCAGCTATGAAGAGCTCTTTCCCTGGCTTGTAGATAAATTTAATAAGATCGGTGATCGGTGATGTTAAAGGGTGGTGATCTGTCTCAACGATCACATTTCTTGGCAAAAGATGTGATCGTGAAACATGACGCCACCATGCGCTATTGTCATAGTTTCCGTTCCAATTTGAGCGTAACATTGCTACGCCTCTGTTAGTGAACGTGACGAGTATGCGACGGGACGGCCGCCTTGAATAAGCACAGTGTTAACGCCCGTTCGGCTGGCGTCGACCGAAAGGGTTACTGGCCTATTTGCGTTGAAGAAAGCAAGAACTGGCGCATTTGCCAAGCTTTAACGCAACATTCCATAACTTCGCTGCTGCGAGTCAGTCCGAATCCACGCAATGTCTTGATGCAGCAATGTTCTTAGTGAGTCTGTCCCGTCGGACATGTTAGGAATGAAGCGTTTGCACAATTCATGCCTAAAAAGACTTAAGAGTTCCTTACAATTCTTTGGATTTTCCATTCCCAGTATGTCTTTCACTAGACCTGAGTCCAGGCAGAGGCCTTCAGTGCTAAGAATGCGCCCGAGGTAGCGGTCTTGAGGCTGCAAAAAGGTGCATTTCTTTAGGTTAAGCTTGAGGCTGTTTGTACGACAGCGTAACAACAAAATTGACAGGTTGTGGTCTTGCTCCTCTTTTGTGTGGCCCCAAAGCAACATGTCATCCATTATCACGGCTACGCACGGCAAGCCTTCCAGCATGCGATGCATAGCTGCCTAAAAAATTTCTGGGCTCATGCGATGCCGAAAGGCATTCGAATAAACCGATAACGCCCGTGCAGCGTGCTTTATCGTGCAGAATTTTGAGCTTGATTCGGTTGGCTTAATTTGCCAGAACCCTGACGCCACGTCGAGCGTTGCAAAGTACTTGGCACCGGATAGTTGCGAGGCTGCGGCTTCTAGGGTTGGAATGGGTCACACTCCCGCAGCAGCACTCTGTTAAGCGCCGTAGGATCCAGGCAAATTCTAACCTCGTCCTTTTTAACAACTGTTATCATATGGCTAGACCACTCGGTTGGCTCGGTTACCTTAGCGATGACGCCTTGGGCTTCCATGCGCTGCAGCTCAGCCTTGACTTTGCCCTGAACATCCAAAGGAACCCTTTTCGCTGGAACGACGACTCCCACTGCGTTTGGCTTGAGCTTCAGGTCATACCCGAAGTCTTTCAGTTTCCCAAGTCTTTCGAAGACGACTTCGAAAGATTGCACTGGCGTGTACAGTTCATGCTGTATGTCTCGCATATATTAGATGAAGCCAAGGCTTTCAGCTGCTGCACCACACAAAGTGGCAGGTACGTCTTGTTCGACAAAAAAAAATTGTTCTTTGGTTCTGTCGTTCGCTGAAAGCATCAACTCAATTTTCGCATGCGCGACTGTGGTGTGCCCTAAATATGCTGCGAGCTTAACGTCGCAAGCTTGCTGAAGTTCATCTGGCAGTTTCGCAACATCGCTTCTTGATATTACACAGCAGTTGGCACCAGCATCTGGCTTGCATGTGATTGGATAGCCCTCGATGTACCCAGTAGTGCTCCAGTCATCACTGTCGATCGCGCTGACAGTCAAGGTTAGTAAAAAAAAACGTTCTCTTTTGCTCGCAGATCTCGTATTTGTTGGCTGAATTTTCGCTGGTACTTGGATGACCTACATCCCCTGGCGAAATGGTTTAGCCTTCCACACTTTCGGCATTTCGCCCTCTCACTAGACACATGTCACTGCAGTGCACTTGACCCCCACGTTTGTAGCAACGATTTTTATCTATTGCGACTGCATTTACTATAGAGTGCCTTCACTTGATCCTGTGGCTTGACTAATCTCTCTGAAGTACTCTTTGCTTTGTTCATGCGCGCAGCACATGTCGACAGTCTTTCCGTACGTCGGGTTTTCCGCTATCAGTCTTTGCGGAAGGCTCTTATCCGTTGTGCCCAAAATGATTCGGCTGCAGAACATGTGGTCGTCCAGACTCCCGAATTCACAGTTCTTCGCAAACACAGGCAGTTCTGTTAGCCCCTCGTTCTGTTAGTTACCTATCTTTTGGTTTCTAGAACCGAAAAAAAATTCTTGAAACGTCAAGTTGGTCGCGGGCCTGTAGTACTCTTCGAATTTCTTAATCAGAACTTCCACATCATTTCTGTCTTCCACTTCCTCGAACTTGAAAGTACTTTAAGCCTTTCGAGTTTCTTCGAGTATGGCAACTAGCAAAGTGGCTGCTTGAACATCCTTTGGCTGTTAATTACACTTCGTAGCAGTGGAACACAGCAGAAAATTACTTTCCCAAGTTTTCCAGGCAATCCAGGAGTGCTGTGAGGCCTCCATGAGCTTCGGTTGTGGAAATAACGCAGACGCCATCGATGCATCACCTGGGTTTCGCTGCCACTGTGTAGCGAGGCTAGCAGTCGGGTGAACAACAACTTTATTTTAGTTGGGTTAGTGCTACATAGAGCGGAGCGAGACGTAACATGTCACGTGACTACGGGTGTTATCTGACGACTGTACATCCAGCCAGGCTACAAGCAGCATTGTGACAACGAACGCAGAGAATATATACTATGGTCCCAGCGGGAATTGAACTCCAGCATTCTGCATTCCGATCAAATATTCTACCACAGAGGCACGCCAGGTCTCGGAACTGTTTATAAGTAGACTGTACTGTTCGTAAAACGTCAATTGTGGTTGCAATGCTGAATATTGAATCTTATAACCAGTACATACATGCTCCTATCCTACAGACATCACGTCGGGTTAACGGCAATTGCAGTAAA